AGTTTCACATCAGACAGGTACGCAGCTCCCCCTGTCATGCATAATTAGTACTCCCTCTAAAAGAGAGGACCCAAACACATGAAGACTTCCTTCAACATCTTCATATTCACACACTGGAAACACATGCAACTCTACACCCCTTGTTTCACAAACCATGCTGGAACTAATAGCAGAAGTAGTTGCAGGATTACTATCTGGAAGATTTCTCAGATTCAGTTTTGAAAGTCTAGAAACATCTCCAAAATATCAGGGTTAAAGTCCTTCATATGCACAAGATCAATGATGATGATGTCTTGATCTTCATCTTCACTTAGTCATACACGATAAAACACTTGGATAGAGGCCCAAACACCTGATTTGATCCATTGATACCCAATGACAGAGCCAAAAAAAATACACTGCCAGGTTCACCATGAGCTAGAGCAGTAACAAAATGTCACAACATCTAGTATGACATTCCATCCTCCTAGAGACATACAATCACAAACTGCTTGAAACCATACACAATCTTGAGGAATAACTGTACTATTGTAGTAACAGATCCTAGATAGAAATATAACTTCTCATATCAAGGATAACCAGTGCTCTTTTTCCAGAAGCACGTGAATGGAAAACATAAGACTCATCTTCATGTCTTCAAGAGCGCACTCCTTGTTCAACATACCTGCTGAACTCATTCACTTACTACTTGAACCACAGGCAACTAGTACACCCATCAGACTGAAGCTCTCCCCCTATCTTCTATAAAAGATGCTCCAAGCTCACCACAGTATATCTCAAGACCAACCTCATGCTCATACAGTGAGAAGATACCAAACTACTCCACATCTTACCTGCAGTAGAAGAAACCACTTCTCCACAGATATTTTGACCTCAGCCCGAGTTAGAGAACAAGATAGGCACCCCATAATCCAAGACATCCTTTCCTCATCATTCTCCCATATGATAAGTTAGAACACTTCTGGTTTAACTGGTGACTATTCACTTTCATATAACTCATCATAGTCCAGATTTTTATGCAATGAACCACTTCAGTCTTGTATACTACCTTCACATCATACTCCAAGACAGTCTTTTTACCTCATCATTCTCCCGTATGACAAGATAGAGTACTTCTTAGTCAAGATGTGAATCACAAGTTTCACAACAGATCTTCAAGTCCTTCTCCAAGTAACAACAAGCCAGATGATACATATAACATACACAACATCCAATGGTTCTTTATATGCCCAAAATTGGACTTAGTACTGCCTATTTATCCAACTAAAGATCTTTAGAGAACACAGCTCCACCAGCTTGATCAAATACATCTCCAAAAGAAGGTAATCTTCCATAAACAACTTAGGGCTTCTACCACAAGCCCCAATATGTGAACAGAACCAGACCCTCCTTTGATCATCAACCAACTACCCTTCTGCACAGGAGTAATTAGTTCCAAGCTCTCTGCTTGGAATCACATTAGAGACCAACTAAATGCCACAGTTTGGTTAACTCACCTTCTTTCAGAGCTCTAGAACATCTAAGCAAGTTTTATCTTCATATCCTACATGCTCCAAGGCAACTTAGATACACCAAGACTTGGACTTGTAACATCTACTCCTTCACACAGCTCATGTAAACTGCATGAGATGGTATCAATTCCATTCATACCCGAGAGGATCAACCTGTCTTACAATGATATGCTACAACATCAATTAAGGCCCTGAAGTTTGTTTAATGTCACAACATCTGATAAGACATCCTGCTGAAGATTTCAGGCTTTCATTCTGCCACTTAGAATAACCTTCTCCATATAACAGAAAAAAGAGTTCCATGTTCTCAGGTTTGAGTAGACAACCTTTATTCTGCAATAGCTACCTTTAAAATGCACTTGCTTCAGAACACTCCTCTTTAGAGAACCCAACCATGCCAGGGCTTAATTCTTCAGAGAGGAGGGATCACAAAAATCTTTACAAAAGGAATCCCGCTATCCTTAAGTAGAGACCTCTTCAGAGAGTTAGAGATAACTGCCACTTCTCCTTGACATCCAAGATGAGCAAGATCACATGCTCCTATGTACTTACATTAGAAATAAATTGACCCAAGCAGTGCTATCACCAGCATCATATTCTAGACAAATTTCTTGCCAGGAAACTTTCTAGATAAATAACATATGTTTCTAGTAGAGACTAGAACACACCTGCTGCACTCCAATAAACAGATCCAAGAAAATTTTCATCTTCACTTCCACTAGCACTACATTCTAGTCTTAGTTTCTTGCCAGGAAACTTACTAGAATAAGGACAGATCCTACCACACATGTGTATGGTAACAAGATCATCAACTATATCTCCTTCAACAGACTTCTGTAAAATCTTTGATGCTGGAATGTCTCAACATCTGGTCGAACATCATATCCTTGAAGTAGACAAAGCAGATCAGGGGCCTAATGCTTGAGCAACAATTGATGAGACACCTTGATCATCAACTAAGGATAATCCATTAAATATTTGAGAATATCTCAAATGGCAATGAATTTTAAATCCTTATAATAAATCCTTCTCTTCAGCAATCTTGATCTTGATGGATAACCAATTAAATACGTGTATAGTCCACAAATAGCAATTGATATTAAATCCATACAACTTCATGAATATCAAGGCTGACACCCTTGACTCAACCTTCCTATGACTTCCTCTGTTGAAACAGCCTTTGCAAGTCATGAGTGGTGAAGATAAATCACCTCCCACTATCTTTTCTAAAACAGCCTTCAGCAACTTGTAATACACAACAGAGCAGCCCAGGAACACAACCAAACATAGTTACAAACACCATCTTCCAACCATCTGCACACTTTCCACAGTCATACATCAAACTGAATATAGGGAAATCTTCTCCCAGGGCTACCAGAGTTCTTTCATCAGAAAAATATGCAGCGGAACCACCAAAAGAACATCTTCAATATGTCCTAAACAAGATGTCAAAACATCTTATAGGTCATCTTATAGAAGTAGCCACTCCTCCTTTGGCAGCACATTCACCAGGTCATAAACGCTTCTGTATCAGAGGGCATAGCAGCAAATACACAAAATTCTTCATAGGCAGGAGTGAACACACTCTTCTCCTTAACTTCATAAGCAGTAGCTCAAACATTTAGCAAGATCAACAAATCAGCTACCACTTCTCCTTGTTCAAGACACCGGAAAGTATCTCCCCAGATCTCATTCAGAACAAACAGGATGCCTGCTCTGATACCAATTAAAATTCGGGTATGCAGATCTCATATGTTCTAAGAGATGCAAAGAACATTGATCTCTGCTGAATCAGAATAAAGACAGAACTTGACCAATTTAAATTACTTTAAATTGTGCCAATGTCATGACGTCTATTGTAACATCAGCAGACAGACAAACTATTTATCTAACCATTTAAATTGTGCAGAATTCTAAATGCTGAAAGATAAATAACACAATTAATTGTTTACCCAGTTCGGTGCAACCTCACCTACATCTGGGGGCTACCAAGCCAGGAAGGAAATCCACTATTAGCAGAATCAATTCAAAGCTAAACTCCCCCGTTTACAACTCCTCACTTAATCTCTATCCAATGCAATTTCTGCCTAGAATCCACTAGACAAGAGACCCTGCTTACTCCCCCTCAATCACCGCAGAGATAAACAATCCAATACAAAAAACAGACTTTAGAAGACACTCTTCAAAGTCACAATACTTGATTTTACTTAACAGCTTCAATCAAGGACAATACACTCTTGCTTAAAAGCTTTGAGTGAACAATCAGCTTAAAAACACTAGACCAATGCAATCATGCAGCAGATAATTGCTTCATTCACAAGTATTCCTAAGACACCAAAATACATGTGAAAAACAGAACTCTTCACTCACAAATATGTCTACCATAATGTATCCAAAGATACAAAGGGTGACTTACAAAGACACATACACGGGACTCTCAAACCCTAAACCTTTATTTTACACTCTAGTTGTTCTTGAAGTGAGTGCTTGATTTCCTTTGCTTCTACGCCTCCTTAAATAGCAATGCAGACTGGGCTTGGGCTGGTCAAGAGTAATAAACATTAGGTTTAACCAAGTTAACCCACTTTCCATAATTCAAGGTGCTGCCAAATTAGGTCACATCTGCTTCATGTTATGCCCAGCCCTGACTAGAATCTCGCCTGAGATAACTAAGGAGCCATAACAGGTTTCCTGAAGTATAGCCTGAGCTTCATCTTGTAATATAACAGTAAACCTAAACACACGCCCTGATGTCACACGCTTGGTGTCATAGCATCTAGCATGACATCCAACATACTTGATTCTAGCTAACCAAACTTACCCTGCTGAGCACTCCTGCAGAATCTTCTTCATAACAGTAGAAACAAGCATATTATAGTTTCCTAAAAAGTCTCAAAGATCCTTTTTATGAACACCAATTAAATTTTCACTTTGTTCCTAATAAATCTCTTTGGCCTGCACATACTTATGAGGTATATCGAATAGGTTCTCATCAAACCAAAACACTTCTGTCAAGTGATAGCAGCTCATGTTGTACCAGACAGCGATGTCATGACATTGGTGATGACATTCTGATTAAAACACATGACAGCAGTACTATCATCAGCTCCATCTGTACCAGACAGTGATGTCATGACATTGGTAATGACATCCTGATTAAAACACATGACAGCAGTTCTGTCACCCCAGCAGATGAAGATGTTATAACATCCTGATTAACATCAGTGCAGAATCATGTTTTATCAAAATTTAGCCAATCATATAACCATGGATAATCATAGAATCATGGAACTAACACAAAAGGCTAAATTTTGTGTTCATTTACACTAATACATGAAATTAAATTTAGTGTTCATTGACACTAACAAAAAGCCTAAGTTACATCGAAAGTTTATATTAATTGACACTAGTACAAAAAGCCTACGTAAATCACACTACAGTTGCTTCTGGCCGGGTTGTCTGAGTTTGTGTTGGTTGGCTTGCTTCAGGCTAGATTGTCTGACTTGGTACAAGATGACTTGGTTCTGGCTGACTTGGTCCAGGTTGACTTGGTTCAAGCTGAGTTGTCTGAGTTGGTGCATGTAGATTGCAAGTAGCTTTGTTTTGCCCCATCATGTGGCACCTGCTACACTTGATTCCAAAGTTAGCTCGCTTTAATTGTGTATCATCTCTTATATTCTCTAATGCATCCCTAGTCATCTTCTTCTTTAGCCTTCCTGGTTGTCTTTTGATTGGTGGTGGTTGTAAATTAACATACTCTATTTTCTCCCACAGAGTATCCTCATTCACTAGATATATTACAGGTGCATAACATGCCTCATAATTAGGGGTGTTCGCGGTACGGTTTGGATTAGTTTTGAAGCAAGATATCATCAAATCCAAAGATAAATTTATTCGCGGTTTGGTTTGGTTTTGGATAGTAGGTTAAAAAAATCTAATCTGATCTGATCCAATTTCATACGGTTGGATTTGGATCGGTTTTTTGGATATTTAAATTACAAATTATATTTTTTATTAATTGTTTTTTAAAAAAATACTAATAAATAATAAATTTGATAGAATATATAATATATACTAAATTAAAAGTTAATATTACAAAATGATAATAATCATTTATAGTTGAAACACATACAATAATAAAAATAAATAAATTAAATTAAATCAAACTAAAGAAAATAGCATTTAAAAAAATAAATATAATCTAATTATAAATTAAGACAAATATTATACTAATAAAAATATATACGTATAAATATATATACATGTGGTTCAGTTTGGTTTGGATCGGTTTTGAAAAATTAATCTAAAATTCAATCTGAATCGTGCGATTTTTACAAAAATGACATCCAAGCACATCCAACAACTTTCGGCTTTTTATGGTTTTTAGTTTTTTGGATTGGTTTGCGGTTTTTGTTTGGATTCGAACACCCCTACTCATAACATGCTCTATTGTAGCAATCAGGCACAAAATTGTCAATCTCCAATTATTGAGATTTCATGTAAAATATTGCATGACAGCATGGCAACCCAGTCAACATCCATCTCCTACAAGAGCACTCCTTAGTGAACCGACACACATTATAATTCTTTCTATTATATGATATATTCCTAACCTCATTATCAAATTCACCTGCACACCTGTGTAAAACACAACAACAATTCAGCAATTCAGCAAATTTAAAACACAATCCAAATGTAAAGCAAGTCAATATTCAATACCTCACAATCCAATTGTTTATTTTTTCTGATTCCTTTGCTCTCCTTTTCTTGATATTTGGTAGAATATCACCTTCATATTTTTAGCAATCTTATGCCTATTTGACTCCAACCTTAGCATGAAATACACTCTTATTTCTTCAATCATTGTTACAATTGGTTTGGCTCTAGCTAAGATAAAAATAGAGTTGAATGCCTCTGACATGTTATTCACTAGAGTATCATATAAAGTATTGGTCTTGAATCTAGACTTGCTCCAAAACCTTAGTGGAACCTTTATCAAATGCTTGGGTTCCTCCTCATTAACAGCCTTCATTTCAAGCATGATGTTTTCTCATGCATTCATATAAATGGTTGTAGCAGCTTTCCAGACAAGTTCTTTGAGCTTAATGTCTGGATATTTCTTCCTAAAATTGTTGTATAAATGCCTTGAAATACATAAAACTCGTAGTTAAAGGACATTATTGAAACTTATAGAAAGCTAGGGAGATAAAGTGATAAAATATACCTAACACAAAATCTTTGGTCTACTCTAGGAAGAAATTCATCAAGAGCTGGTAACATTCCCTGTAATAAAATGTAATCAGTTTAGAACATTCTAAAAAAATAACAACTAGCTCATAAAAATCAAAATCCATAACAAATAATCTTTTGTTGATCATTAATGAATGTGTATGTATTACAAAATCTTGTACCTCCTAGGTCAGATATCAAAAGTTCTAGGAACCAAGTCCATGAATCCTTGGTTTCACCTTCCACAACAACAAATGCAATAGGTAACATTTGGTCATTTGAGTCCCATTCAATTGCAGCAAGTATTTTTCCACCATAATACCCTTTCAAAAAGCAGCCATCAAAACCTATTTTAGGCCTACACTTGAAAAAATTGTCTCTGTAGGCCTTAAAACAAATATACATCCTTTGAAAATATGGGTTCAGCTGTCCCCTGGGATGCTCAATGTTGTCCTCTCCACCTTGAAATGGTTGACTTATAAATTTCACAGTTGAACCGGGATTTGGCCTTAACAATTCTTGTGCATAATCATGAATTGTTTTATACTGCTCCCTAAGAGACCCATCAACAATATCAATAGCCATTGTCTTTGCTCTATATGTAAGAGTTTAGTTAAACCCCACAACCCATTTTTGTTGGGTCTTCTCCATGATATCAGTATGTTTTAAACTAGGATTCTCTCTCACATTTTTTGTATCTTACTACTGAGTCACTTGGATGTGAGGAAATTGACCTTGAAATCTCTACTACATGTATGTTTTACCAATAATCTTTATGAGTTGTCGTGTATCTTCATGTTTGATTATTGCATAATATGCCTCCCATGTGTTAGACGACAGGCTTCGATCTAGAGAGGGTGAATATATCACAAATTTAAACTTTAAACTTTTGGCAAAAATGGTTTTCAAAAGTTTTATGGCACAACGGAAACAACCCAAATTGAATCTTCTAACCTAACCTGCTATCAAAAAGCTCAAATATGTGTAAAGTTACACAATTGAATGATAATGAACACAAATTTTTCAAAAATTGAAAGCTCCGAGGGTTTGACTAAATTTTGGTAAAACATTTTTGAAGAAATCTTCCTGTCATACCCCAAATTTATCCTACTTGTACAACTTTCATTATATACATTCACCCTCTAGTTAATATTTACAAAATCCAAAAAATGTGTTGCTTATGCTCATGGTCCATACTCACGATATCACAGGGTTGAAACAAATTGTTGCAAGATTCACATGAGGTTGGTCAAGACAGGCTATGGTATAAAGTTCCAGGGGTGCACGCTCGGAGTTTCAGTTAAGGTTTATGGGTGAACTCAGGATCTTGGTACAGTTGTAATGTAGTCCATATCAAGTTATCATCTTCTGATGTCAAGGCTTTGAGAAATCCATTTTTATGAAGAATAATTGTGGTTCAGCTACAATCCAAATAATGTTAGATCAAGATAACTCTATTTCCCTATCAGAACAAGATGAGGATATGGATCAATTCAGTGCTATTTAAGTGAAAATCCAAGAATCATGTTAATGAGAATCATGGAATTAAAGTTATCTATGATCATGATTAAATATAGTTCAAAAGTGAGAACGGAGGATTAATTCATTTTTCTGGTTTCATTTGCGATGCTCATGTTTGATTTAGTTTGGATTGAATATGGATAACGTAGAGACAAGGATCTATTTCATTTGTCTCAATTTGTTTTTGTGAAGGAACTCAAAATTTGGTGCAAATAGCAAGTGATGGTGAAAAGCCCATTTTACAAGATCCAAGATACAAGTTCGGAAAAAATAGAAAAAACACTAAAAATTCTTCATCTCACAGTAAGCCCACATCATCATACAAAAAGGGGAAAATAAGTAAAAATTTTGGACAACTTTTTGTGGAGTATATTCATCCACCATATTCAGATGCAGCAGCACAAAATTGTTTATGCCTGTATTTGAACCATCCCATCCTTACAAAGCAAAACATACTGCAACGAATACCAACCTCCCAACCATCAAGCATAACGCAAATCACGCAGCAAATCCTTATGGTACGAACCTCGCCACAGCCAACAATAATTGCAGAGATGGTGTTCCACATAACAACAAACTTCACAATAGCAAAGAAACTCTGCAATAAAGTGAGGTGAAGACCATAAAAAAATCGGTACCCCCACTGCAACTTGTACGACGTATCACTATGCAACGTTTAATACGCGTACCATCTGCAATACCGAAAATTCTCGCAGCAATCAATTTACGTACTAAACAAATGCGCTGCACCACGTCTATATAGGAAACCGAAAATACAGTACAAAAGGAGAAGATGAAAACAAAAACGGTTTCTTACCGTAATTAACGTACCACCTCCAGGACAATCTGCAACAACGCTCCTCATAGTATGCACAAGTCGCAAACCGACAAAAGCTGCTTTTCTAGCTTGTACGATTTCGCTCACAGCATTACCCAGACAAAGCCTTCATTTTATTGGACCCAAAACCGAGTCACAATAACAATTTCCTCTGAAACTTCAAAAGTTCAAGAACATTTCAAAAATATGAACGGAGAAATATAGAAATCGTTCAACTCACTCTTCGTAACAAAGTCTCACTCAAAATCACTGAACGACCAAAACCCATTTGTTTTTCTCCACAAACTTCAACAACTCCATCTCTAATCACTTCAACAAAACCCACAAATCCTCCATCAAATCCCTTCAAACCGAAAATCGCCTTCGAGTCTTTCGACCCTAAACCCCCAAAACTTCCTTTAACCTCAACACCAGAACCCTCAAATCCTCTTTAAAATGCCACTCTTTCCCTGTCATTTAGCCCACCTAATCTTCCATAAACCAAACCCAAACCAACAATAATCAATATAAAACCCCCTTTTTCTAGACTGCTCCCATTAATCCCAAAACAACACAAACCCGAAAAAGCGTAACCCATATCCCTCTTTAATTTTCAACCAACATCAAAAACTTCTCACCATCAGCAACCTTCATATCCTTTTCGATACCTATCTGCAAAACGATTCTCGAAATCATCATCCTCAATCATTGAACAGAAAACCCAACTTCTCCTACAAAGCCAGATCCAAAATGAACTTGAGAGAGATTATGAGATGATGAGAAAGAAAAGGAGATGAGGAAGTTGGAGAGGTTCGTGGATCCGAAAAATGACATATATTTGGATGAGTAGAGAAGGTTAAATTTATTCGAATCTGGTTGGTTGCCATTGATATTGTCGTGCCATGTTCGTTATTCTCCATGGGTGTAAAGTGCTAGGTTTTTTTTTTGACTTTATCTTAAAAATAAATTTGGTGCGGATGGAGAATTGTTAAAGTGAAACATGGGAGATGGCTTTGAATCTGTTTTATGACTGGGTCGGTTTTCATAAACCCATGTTCTTTATTTTCTATCACCACACCCCTCATTTTCACATACCCCTTTTTTATTTGTTTTTTTTTATATTTGTCAAAGTTTCTTTCTTAATTAAGTTTTGAGAGGAATTGTGATATTCATTTTATTTATTTTCCTTATTTTGGGTTGATGACGATACTCCAAGTTATAGTTTTGTCAAATTATTGACAAATAATAACAAACCCGAGACCAACTTCTTTTTAATTTTTCATTTTCGATTTTTATCGATTTCTAT